TAGTTAGATATTTTTGGTCAATTTTTGTATATATCAAGATTAATTATTTCTTTATATTTTAAAAAATTAATTTCTTTTATTATATATTTATTTTGAAAGAAATGAAAAAGAGGAAAGGGAAGGAGAGAATAAGATTTTTTTAAATACTTAAATTATATTATTTTTAACTTCACCCTCCCCACTCCTCCCTTTTCCTTTTCTCCCCTCCATTCACTCCAACCCACATATATTATTAGTGCTAATCCTATAACTTAAAATTGGGATGTAACCTGTAAAAAAAATTTGCGTATTAATTAGTACATTCATCCTTATAACTTATTCGATTTTAAGAGAGGAAAAGATGAGGATATATAAGGAGAGGGGATGAATTTTTTAATTTGTGTAACAAAAAATTAGAGGGGAAGGTAGACTTGACAAACAAGTCGGATTGGGTGGATTTGGATTGGGGTCATTTTGGATATTGGATTATTTTGGATTAATTAGGTCATTTCGAGTGTTAGGTTAAAAGAGTAGGCTTATGCTCCACCCATACAGATCTCAAATTGAATCAGGTGGACTTAACTTTTAAAAAATTAAAATTAAAAATAAAAATTTTCTATGTTTTTCTCTATTTTCCTTTAACAAAGTCTACATTAATTAACTATTTAGTTAGAAAATTTTATTAAATGCTAATTTTCATTTCATGATTCAATTTTTATTCCAATTTCAAGAAAAGAAAAAGGAAAGATTATTAATTATATAAGTGGAACTAAAATATATGTATATAATGCCTATACAATATTTAGGATTTATAATTTCATAAATGCATTAACTTTTATTAAAAAAAAAACATTAAGGATTATAGTTCCAAAAACAAATTCAATATATATATTAATATCCAGTGCCTATTTAATATTTACAAGAGTATTATAAAAAACAATATAGTTCTATTCAATATTTATAAAGGCATTACACAGAAAATATAGCCCTATTCAATATTAACATTCAAAAGGCAAATCCAAAATATATTTAAACAAATATAAGAAGAAATTGAATCGAGATTGATTTTTATTAACTAGGAACAAATTATTTACCAAGAACATATTGACAACTAAGAATGAACCTTGATGTTCTTGATGTTATTGTCTTTGTGCCTCTAATGGTGATGTGAGTACATCAACCACTAGATTTTAATTTTCAGTAGGCATTCTTGTTTTCTATTTAAAAAAAAAAAAAGATATTTTTTATCATGCCATATGACACAACTCATTATGTGCCACCTAATTTGATTTTTTATATGAGTGCCACTAAAGAGAAGGATTAGAGAGCTTGAGATGAAGAAAGAGAGAGCGAGAGTGGAGAAGAGGAAAAGTTCAAAGAAAGTGAAACTAACAAGAGGTTAGAGTTGAATATTTTATTTATTTCTACTTTTAGGATTAAGAAATTAAAATTTTAAAATTAATTTTTAAGTAATTTAACAATAAATAAATAAAAGTTCAGGTTATTTTAAGTGACTCAATTCATCCATGACTCAACTCACCCATGACCCAACCCATTTAGGTTTGGATAATTTCAATGTGGGTCAATTCAAATTTTGAATTAACACATAGGATTCAGGACTCACCCATAATAGATGAATTGGATCAAATTTTCAAATTAAGTCTAATTTTGCCAAGTCTAGGGGAATGGAAAGGTTTTCTCTTATTTTGCATTGATTTTTTTTTTTTTTTTTTTGTTTTTTGGTCTAATCAGACGAAAGAAGGGAATGGGAACCAGGTGAAGGGAAAATGGTAATAGAAATCAAAGCAAAAATGATATTATTATAATATTATATAAAATTTTAAATTTATAATTATGATATAATATTATTAAATAAATAAATAATATATATAATATTATAAGTGAATCCTCAAATTAAAAAAAAAAATCTATCATATACTAATAACAAATTATTATTATAATTTTTATAATATCTATAGTTTTTTCATTTTTAATATTAAGTTACAATAGCTCTAAACATATAGTTGTTGCTGTAATGTGAAACAGCTTAACTTAATGATTAGTCTATTAATTAACAATATAATTTTATTTTAATTTAGAAAGTTTTTTTTTCTAAATATCGTTTGTAAATTTTGTAAAATATTTCAAAATAATTTACTTTATAAAATTTTTATTAGTTTGAATAGGAAAATAACCGAAAAGTTAAATCAAAATTAAAACAAAGTAATTTCAACCAGCAAAGCAATTCATAATAGACTGAGTAAGTTATTAAAGTATGTTAATAATTGTGGTTTATGCAACAAAGGAGAATTGTTAAACGTAAAAACTGAAGCAATATATGATAAAGGCTATAGTTTTTTAGACAGTGAAAGGAACTTAATTATTATTTTTACAAAATTAATTTTATCTCAAAATTAATTTCAATGAGTAAAAATTTACAAAAAAAAAGTTGAAGATCAATTTAACAAAATGAAGTAAAACTACTATTAAAAAATTAACAGACTAAACTAATTTGAAATAAAAAATAAAAGGTAATAGATGAATCTAAACGTATCCAAAGATAATAGGTAAAATAAAAAAAAGTACAAAAATTATTAGACTGTTTATTAAATTAAGTCAATGTGAAACCGTGACCAATTTTGGCAGTAGCCCCTACATCTTGTACAATTGATTCTGCTAGTTCCTTTATTTTATATGTATAATTTTTTTTAAATTTATTTACTTCTAATTTTAGACAAAAAATAATAATTTTTTAATAAATATATTATATAAATGTATACCAATTTATCTAGAGTATGTACTAATTAATGTCCAATATCAAATTTGTACAAATAAGTCTTACTAGTATATACTTTCGTCGTTCAATTTTAGTAGATTTAATAGTTCCAAAAAAACCATTAATAGATTTAGTTTTTTTTAATCTAATAAATTAGAGATATAATGATTTATTGATCAAATTTTATGTTTATTTCTAGTTAATCATCACTTAAATAAAAATTTTAATTTAAACCTAACCTTTAGTTCAGTGATTAACCCTAAACCTTAAAATGCTTGAGCTTGTTAGTTAAGGTTTCAAATCCACTAGCACCTTAGAAAAGTCTCTCCTTCCCCAAATCGTAGATTGTTTTTTTAAAAAAAGATTTTTTATTTAATACATATTGTATTTATTTTTTAAAAAATAAGAGTTAAATAAAAATAAAAACATGAAATAACATTTTAAAAAATAAATTTAAATGAAGAAAATATTATTGTGGTAATATAGTTTATTGCTCAATAATTACAATATGAGCAATTTTTTGCGTAATTCATAACTGCAGTCATGATAATCTTTAAAGATAATTTGACTATATTCTTGGTCTAAGTTTCTCAATTCATCAACATTATATCCAGGTTTAAAAAGAAAAATCTATACCGTTGAACATAAAAAAGAGAAAAATATATTAGTTTTGGGAGCTTTACTTCCAATTTTTGAACAAGATAATGCCATGTAATAAAAACTTGAAATGGAGGGACTCGAGACGGTACAACCTTTTTTTTTTTTTTTAAGGCAGAGAGATATTACCATTGAAATCACATCATGTACTTGAAAGGTATCACAAGTTACCTTGGAGCATTTTATCAGTGCCAACGATAGAAGATATAAGTAATTAAGTATAAACTTGTTTTTAATAATAATACATTTTTTCTAATAATAATAAGAAGTCACACTTAACTTTATACATTTGCTAAAAGGTGTGCCTCTAAATTTTGTGAGCTGGGTTTAGACCCTTTTCTTTATTTAAAAATTGTATTTGTTTAAAAAAATTAAAAATAATAATAAGTTATGAATTGAAATTACATAACAAAATGAGTAGTGTGAATCATTTATGGGATAAGAATATTAATTTTATTAGTTAAAAACTTGAGTAGTATATTTACAATAATATTATAGTTATAATTTTTTTTATCGTTAGTATTACAATTACAATGTTATATAAGTTTATAAATTTATAATCATGATATGACATTAAATAAATATAATGTAATATTAAAAATATATATATACAATATCACAAATAAATTTTTAAATAAAAATAATTAATTATATAATAATATATCATATTATAAATTTATAATATTATATAGTATTATAATTATAATATTTTCATTATATTTGAAGCTTTATATTCGAATCTTGAAATGTTAAATTTGAAAAGTTAATGGGGTGCTTGTGTTGGAGTTTGAAGGAAACTCATTGCTATTGGCTTCTAAACAACTAAATAAAGGTGATTGGGTAAAATAATATGTTAGTTTTTAGAAATTGACTAACAGCAATTTCATTTTTAAAATTATGTATTGCTTATTTTTAATATAACACAGTACATATCTTAATGTAATGGACGAGTACCCCTTATATTTATAGTTTACAATACATTTTTATTTAAAAGAAAAAAGAAAAAAAAGACTAACAGCTATTTATTGTTAGTTTTTAGAAATTGGCTAACAGTTATTTAGGCTCTTAACAAATGCGGTTTCGAACGAATGTCCCAAGCAGCTTTTGGATACAACTGCATTTCAAATTATGTTTTTTATTTTCTTTATTGACTTATATGGCCTTAATTAACTAAATCTATAATTATCTCTCTCTAACAAACTCCAATTCATTTTCTGGTAATGTAGAATCAGAACAACCATGGTTGTTTCCACTCACCATCCCAAATTAGATCCTCAGATCTAAAAAATCTCACGAGTTTCAGCTATAAAACATGGAAAAGGGCTGTTGATCGACAAAATTTAACCCATTGAAGAGCGAGGTTGATTTTGAAAAAATTAATTTGAGGCTTGCAATCACCTTTTCAAGAGCTCGTCGATCAAAACTCTCGGGTTTACAATTTGAGTAAGTAGTAACAAGTTCTCATCAAATAATTTCTTATGTTTAAAATCTTTATTTGATTTAAATCAAGAAAATATGTAGATATATAATGA